ACACCATGTCCTAATACATTTTGGTGATCGTAGTAATGATATGCCCGGTTCATTCGAGAGCTCATGGAAAATTTCCCTCGAAGAGCTGCATTAGGGCAATATCGCAAAGTTACCAACCTTGCGGCAATCCGTGGTGGTCATGCCATCATTTGCGGTTAGGCCGTAGCGAGGCAATAGTCGCCTTGATCTAGTTACATGCCAAACCGTCCACCAGGCGTGTACTTGCATTCCGTGTGATGGACGCATGACGAAGGACGTTAAGCCATTATCTCGATTATACCAGTGGTTTTGTCGGGTCCACAGGGAATAAAGAAGCGGTCAGTATACTATAGCTGTCATTCAAAGCAGTCGGAAACCGCAACGAACCACATCTCTGGCCGGACGCTGCCGTGAGAACCAAATGATCATCGACCTTCAGCTACTCGTATTAACTCCACTCTGTAGTAGCTATTTGTCCGTAAACGGTGCACTTAATTATTTTCCTAGATAATAATGCTTCCAGATTGATTCCGGCGAGATTTTATGGTGTAATGGGAATGCACACGGGGCCGAACAGTGGCCCGGCCTGCCTGGTGCCAGGAGCCCGGCCCTGTGCGGTTGGCTGCGCGGTGTCGGTCCGACCGAGACGGGGGTTGCCCAACCTCAGCCATGGGTGGAACAGGGTGTGACTTACACACACTTCGGCAGCAGGTAATAGGCGATGGCCTGGCGGCTGTGCTGCGAACAGTGCGGCGCGCCGGTGGGGTATTCGCCCGCCGGTTCAGGGGACCGCTGGAGGAGGGTTTATTACCGGCGGGCGGTGAGTGGGGGGGCTGCGACCGCAACGGAAGCCGCCAGTCCGCCGACCTATAGACGGCTCCTGGAACGCCAACGGGCTCTCAGCTCAGGGTCACGGGGTACCTATAGTCGTCTGCAATCTGCTCTGAGTCGTGGCAGCTGCTAATGGCATGGAGTCACGCCCCTGGGCCAGTCGCGTGCATCTCGCACGAAGAGTGGTGGCGCGACAACTGATCCCTGCGGCACGCTCTGTGGACGGTGGTCCGCAGAGCTGCCGGAGAGGGCAGCAGCGGCTGTGGGCGCCAGGTCGAGGTCATCACCTCTGCTGAGGGCGGGCGACAGACAACCGGCCGCTGCCAGACAGGTCAAACGCTCTGAAAAGGTCTATGGCGAGCAATAGACCAACGTATCGGGAGATAATCTTTCTCAGGGCCGAGAGTTGTAGTGGAATAAATTATAGTCGCATGACCCTGCACGTGTTCGATATTCCACATTACCTCCTGGTCTAGACACGCCTACTAGGCATTCGAGGGCCATTCAACATTGACTTATGAATATTAAAGTGATGTAAGCATAACACCGTAGCTGCATAGCACGGGTTAGACTGTTCTCCCGAGTTTTATGTCATAATCTAATGAAAGAACAATGTGCAATAAGAGGAAAACTTTTTTTCAGAGAGCAAGCAGGAACTATGTTATGTTGCGGAGTATAATTTGAAATTGAAACAGTGGACATGCCTTCTTCCTGGATGGTTGTGGCGTAATGAGGAATCATGATTCAGGATGCCTATCATCAGTGTGCAAAGATACCAAGCAACGCATTGGTTCATAGGCATCTGTATACAGAGGTCTATGATTGGTTCAATACCGATTGGGTATCAACGCAATGCATATGAATGATGACATAACATTTAATTTAAACAATGTCGACAGTTCTAGCGAATGAGCGTGTGCATGCCATAGGTTTCCTTCCAGTATCGCATGAGGCATGAATACACTAACCTAAAAATATGTTGCAAAAGCATTTAAGACCTAAGAACCTGGACGGCTTTCGGCTGTTATGCATGCACAAAACAGCCCAAACGTTAAGTCGACAGCTTATCAGCTTATTACATCTTAGTGTCCCAATCGGCTCAGGATGCAGTGGGGTCCTGTCTGATGGCCGGGCGCCGTGAATGCGCTGCAGCGAGCGCCTCGCGCCGCTCTCTCAGCCCTTGGTTTCCGGCGCCGGGACCCTGGTGGTCCGGAACGGTGTCATTACCGGAGGATCGCTGCGCTCCGCGCTCAGTTTTCCTGTTTTGATCGCCGGCCAGATAGCGGCCGCGCCGAGCTCCAACCCAGGGCACGGCGAGACGGTCCGTTCACCGAAACCACTGGCGGGAGGTGCCGTCTGCCCCGACAGCGTCCCCGCGCAGCAGCTCAGGGCGGCGGACAGCAGCGAGCAGTGTTCCACGCTGCGCGGTGTAATTGCCAATTTATCAGCCGATCGATCGCTACAACAGGGGCATATTGGGGCCAGACTGCACCATTGACGTCACGTTTTGGCAAAGAGACCCGAGGCGACCGACCCTGACCTGACGGGCTAAGAGCGCAGGCGGAGGTGCGCGACTGTTTAGGAGGGGGGGGGGGGGCGAGGGGCCGGAATGACCCAGATCCGGGCGACGCATGACGTCGTCGCGGTCGGCAGGCGGTCCCGGAACAGGGGGCTCAGACACCGCCCCCACCCTGCCGCCCCGGACACTGCATAAACCACGGACTGCTGGAGCCCGCAACCAAGGCCGCGGCGTCAGACGGAGGGCAACTCCGGCGCGCGGGAAAACGCTCTAAATAGATGGGCTTCTAAATAGGCGCAGAGCTTCCGCGTCGGTAGCTCTCGTCTCACCCTTTCTCAGACATGTCAGCGCTGCGAAGAGTTGTTACTTAGCGGAAAGGATGACTGGTACCCAGGGAGCCATGAACTCGTGTAAAGCTGTGAATGTAGGCGTGACAACAGCTAACAAGTCTTCTTCAAAGCACAAGGTCACATCAAGCAATCCTGCCCTCGAGTGAGCATACTCGGGTAACAATAATTTGGAACGGAGCCAAACCCATTACAAAGGCAGACTTTATGTTTATGCATCGACGACAAAAGCAGCCATCCGGCACAGTGAAAGTGTCTCATGGTTCTCGTGCAAATGCAATAGAGACGCTTGGCGAAACGCGACACCCGGCTCGATTCACTCCAGTGGCCCGGTGAAGACAGGCGCACACTGATCAGTTTATCTTCTGACGTGCAGTTTTGATCCGCAACAGATGTTCGAAATGAGGAGCTTATGTAAAATCGGTCCTGCCCGCATTGAACAAATGTGGCTCGGTGATTGGTTGGGATTTATCTTGCAGTCTTATTGTATTGTGTTTAATGCGAACAGCCCACTCAAACTGAAACGGAGACTAGTGCCGCTTTACCGGCAGAACAGTGGGATGGTATATGTGACAGTCAATGTATAACCTTTGCATCTGAACAGCGGAGTCAAGTGGTGTTGCTTGCACAGAAACAGGTTCGAAGTACCGGAATGGCTGGATGGAGAGGGCTGGCTGATACATGGCCTCCTTCACCAACGTAGATGCATTCAGTCACCGCTGGTTGGAGGAGGGCGGTGAACGCAACAGCGCGATGGTGTTGCGCAGGCCGCAGGGCCACCAATGAAGCCATTCGTCATTGGGCTGAATGGGCTGATCCATTGTCATCCCAATGATCAGAGCTCGGCTCTGCGAGACGCCTCCCTTTCCAGCGGCCACTAACTGCGCCAGTGTGACCGGCAGGTCAGCGGCGCAGCCCTGACCCGGCGCGCGCCGCGCCACTCTCCAATCGCTCACATCTCGGTAAACGCATCGACAACGCAGCACCAGGCTGCGGAGCGCGACCTTCCATTTGTTAGCGGCCCCCATGGCCATAAGCAGGCGGCACTGTCTGACGCGACGGCAGACCCACCGGTGACCTCCTGACCTCGGCCGGTCCCCGCCGTCCGCGTCGGCCGCGCTGGCGTCGGCGCCGGCAGCTCAGGGGGAGCGCCTCGCAGCCGTCCCAATGTCCCAAGGCTGCGTCTGTTCGGGAGGGGCGGCCACGAACGGCAGTCGTCGGCGGCGCGTCACAGACGACATTGTCCCTGACGCCGGGCTGGGGACCGTCCCGCCCCAGCCGAGAGGTTCAAAGGCGCCGTCCCGCGGATCACGCGTCACCCGTGACCCGTCTGACCCCCACTGACGCACGGTTCGTGGCTCGGCCGATCCGCGCCCTTTGTGCGCCTTCGACGGATGACGTCCAATTAGTGAGGTCATCCCGGTGTCACAGACGCGCTGCCGAGGCTCTATTGAAGACGGAAGCCGGCGTGAGTCAGCATCACACCTGGCTACGGCGAAAAATCCAGACACTGCCGATCTCGACAATTGGACTTTTTTTACCGTCTGCGACTGTGAAGGTTTTTTGGTGCTATCTGTGATGTAAGCTCCCTGACCACCTCACTATCAGGAACCGAACAAGGCGATTTTTCGACGGATGAAACATGTCTTCTACAAATATGGACTTCCGCCTTTGCTATCGAAGTAAATCAATGTAAAACTGCCAAAAGCGCTTACATACATGGAATGGGACATATTGGACTACAAGCAGATAACGAGAGGAAAAGCGCCACTTTCATATAAAGTGGTTTATAGTGGAAAGAAATCAGGCCGTAGCTGGGACATCCCGCATAACTATTAGGTCGTGGAATCTAAATCCGATCTGGTTTCGGAGACAATGTTCATACAGATAGCCTGAATAGGAACCGGTTTGTCTAAATGTACAAAGGTAATCGATACGTTTTGACTGAAGTACAAGTGAGAGAAGGTACAGAAACGCCACAGTTTTAGTTGCTTTCGATTTACGAGCTAAAAAGTCAAAAGCACGATTTTGTTACTATTGATATCCTTGTATCTAATTCCGGTTTGGCAGTGATTACGTACTGAGGATGAGATGCCAGAAATATATCATACAGGACAAAACGAAAGAAAACAACCACTGTAACTAATAACTACGTATTATATCTACTGAAATATCTGACTAAAGCGTCTACCTACAATCTACATCCCTTCACCAGGCATGCGTAGCGCGGTCCGCTACCGGACGCGCAGGGGGTTGGGGGGGGGACTCACCGACCCCCTACCGTCCCCCACTACCCCCGGAGGCGGCGCCCGCGCGGGACCCACCTTGGACGGGGTCGCGGCGGCAGCAGAGGCCCGTCGAGCCGTCGCCCAGGTCGCAGACGGCAGCCGTCGTCTTGGGGCTGGTGCCGGAGACAATGCCCGAGCAGAACACCAGCGGCGAGCACTCGCCGCTGCTGCACTGCGCCGCCGGCGAGCCGCGGTCTGAAATCCACCGTCCGCGCCGCCGGCCGTTCTCATACTCTGACACTACGCACACTACCGACGCTACACTACACATACTGCAGGCGCCACACTACATACTACCGGTACTACACTACAGGTACGACACTACAGACACAGCGGACCCCAGCCCCGCGGTCGGCACAGCGGTGACCGAGGAGCTGTGGTCTGCCGGTAGGACAGCGACTACGGACAACGCCACAGCTCGATAGGCATGCCTATGCCTGCTACATAACCACTTTTCTGCGCTGACTACAGACACCGGGGGCTGACTATGACGTCTGGAACTATCACAACATACAGCTGGCGGACAGACACGGTGCACATCAACGGCAAAACTTCTTCGCAACTCGCATTTCTATCAGTGAGAAGTACCTACTTCATGACTCAGACAAAGGCATTTTGTATGCACCAGCGACGCAAGATCGAGCAAAACAGAAAGATTACTTTTTAAATGGCATGAAAATGGTAAATCTTCTTAGCGATCAAAAACCACCATCATTAATAACGAAGATACTTTGGTGTAACTATGTAACTTAATTCAATAGATTTGCCACTATATTGAAGAATAGGATGAAAAATACACAGCCCATCGCATCATCCCAACCAGAAACCAAGCTGAAAAGGTTTTACTCACAGCGTTGCAGCGATTCATTCCAACAGGGGTTCAAAATATCGGGACAAGATCGAGACAAGACAGTGGATTGAAGTGTTAGTTAGGGGGAATATGACACAGAAAAGCGAAGAGACGATAAGCTACGTACGGTAGGAAGCATAGCCACATATACAACAGAAAAGGAGTGGTGGGTGCTTAATTACAACGTCTACGATATACAGGTGGGGTCGTATAAACAGCAAACACAGAGCGAAAAGCCAATCACTATCAGAAGCTGATGACAGCAAATGCAAGATACGTCTGAACTTATTTGATTTATAGTGTGCAACAAAATGCCGAGATGTTCGATCAATTACGATGACTATCACAGTTTTTTAAAATGATTGGTTGCATGCATTTATTGATTTTAACAATGGAGGCAGAAAGAAGCCATGGTCCAAAAAATGCATGTTTTGTAATTTATTGCAATCGATCTAAGTCAATAATGGTGCAAGTTTTCGTCCTTTTGTTGTATTGACTTGCACAATATTTTAGTTTCTTATGGTCTTTTTCCTGTATACGTGATAATTTTGAGTGTCAATTACCTATGTTTATCATAACAATTTCGATCTTTTTCTTTTGCTGTACATCATAAATCAATAGCAGTCAGCATATTTCCACGTACACAAAGCTGAAGCATATACAACAAAAAAGGCAAACAAACTTCGCACTCAATTCGTTTTAAAAGGCTGAACCATTCACAGTTCGGACCAAAATCACTAAATCTTCATGCGATGCATAGAGACAATAAAAGAACAACCAAAACTAGTCTGCTGGAATTTGGAATCTAGTGTTGAGATAAAAAGTGCAAAGTTTGTTTAGCGTCGACTGCATTTATAACATGCATACAAAGAAGAGAATAGTAAAATAAAGGAGCCCCGCTCGAGTTGCAAGTGTTATGGTGCATATCGTTGATGCGAAAGAAAGTGTTTATTTTCCTGCACTTTTTAGTGCAGCTATGCACTAAATAAGTGCAGCTACATATGCGCGCCTGCTTTTTGTAGCAATGAATTTGAAATATTTGACAAAGAAAAGCAGTTGCATTATTTACTCGTGTCGCGCGGAACTTTGATGGTGGGATTTATGAGCTATCCTATCATCAGTGATGTGTCCCCTCCCCGAATATGGAGCCTCAAAGTAGCGCAGCAGTTGATCGTGTCTAAATTTGTCTCCCACTGTCCTGTTTGGTCCAGTTTCGTGTATAACCGTCGGCTGGGTCGGAGCGAATCCGGAGCCCTTCCCCGGCGTCTGCGGCCGTATTCGGCGCGGGCACAGGCTCACGGCCTGACACGCCGCGTGACCTGGCCCGGCCCACGGGACACCGCGGGTGACAGATAACCCGTGTTCCCCAGCTGCGAGGTAGTGAGACACAATCGCAGCGGCCTATAGGTACAGGGTAGCTGTGACTGAGCGCTGCCACGAGGGGCTGCGCCGCACCATATGCCACACTGTGGCCGGTGGGCCGGCCGGGGACGGTCACGACCCGGCCGTATTTCCATGTCGTGTCTGTGGAGCGCGCCAGCGGCACAGGTGATGACTCACGAGCGCCCCGTGTTCAGCATTTACGGCTGCTGAAACACCGGCTGAATGGGGTGATGCATGGCCCGTGCCCACCGCCTGGATACTGCGCATTGCCTCAGCGGTAATTTGACAATGTGCACACCGTAAAACCATATACGTGGGTCCTTGACCGGGTTGATCGCACGTTTTGGTGTCAACTCTCAAGGCTGGCGGCAAATATTCAGTGTTGAGTGCAGCGCCGTCTCGCTCCTGTTGGTACGCGGCCTTGTACCTCGGCCAGGACATGCCGACTCACTGGTGTGTCCGACTCACCCACACAGAGTGATGCGCGTGGAGAGACAAGACTGGATTATAGCCCTTATGCTTTGTTGATTGATGCAGGCTTATGCGCGGTGTTGACTGTGGAGTATTTTGTGTTGTCGGAACTCGAGCGGGGCGACAGGACAGCAGAAGAAGCGTCACTTACATGGCGTGCCATAGCTAGCCTCGGCGGGCGCGTACGCCACCACCGGCTGGTGGGCGATCTTTACACCGTACTCGTAGCCGGCTGGCGGGCTCTCCGGCTGCGGGTAGCCGACAACGGGCCGCGCGTACGCCGCCGGCCCGTACGGCACGCGCAGCGCGCTGCTGAAGCTGTTCCAAGCGTAGTCGACATACGGGTTAGCGGTGGCGGAATAGCCGGGCGCGGCGCCCAGGTTAAAGCTGCCGTGCGACACGGCGTACGGGGTACCTCGGGTGTGCGGGCTCGGACTGCTGAACGCGCTGCCGCCGAACACAATCTGACGCTTCTCGCGTTTGGGTTCCTCCTCGGCGGCGGCTGCCAGCGCCACCAGCACTGCCTGTCGACCGGGCGGGGAGAGGTCAGGTCAGGGGTCACTGTAGGGACGACAGAGGAGGTCAGGTCAGGACCACCAGCACTGCCTGTCGATCCGAGCGGGGAGAGGTCGGGTCAGGGGTCACTGTAGGGACGACAGAGGTCAGGGGCAGGACCACCAGCACTACCTGTCGACCGGAGGAGAGGTCGGGTCAGGGGTCACTGTAGGGACGACAGAGGTCAGGTCAGGACCACCAGCACTGCCTGAGAGGTCGGGTCAGGGGTCACTGTAGGGACGACAGAGGTCAGGTCAGGACCACCAGCACTGCCTGTCGACCGGGGGAGAGGTCGGGTCAGGGGTCACTGTAGGGACGACAGAGGTCAGGTCAGGACCACCAGCACTGCCTGTCGATCCGAGCGGGGAGAGGTCGGGTCAGGGGTCACTGTAGGACAATAAAGGGGGTCAGGGTCAGGGCAGGATACTGTCTATTGACCCATGAGGAGGGGATTTAGAGGTCACTGTGGGACGGAAGAAGATGCCAAGGTCAATACAGCACAGCAAAGGTCGGTGCTCACGGCATGACAACATCACTGCACATCAGCTGAGAGGTAATGACAGCGGCTAGAAAAGCTATGTGATATGCGACTGCCATAAGAAGCTCTTAGAACCGGAGCAACTGTCCAGCGCGATAAAAGCGTTCACGGCCAGCTGAACTTCACAGTACAACTGTTCTGTTTGGATTGACAGGACTGTGGACGCCACCAGTCACCAGCCGAAATGGCACAGTCAGGGGGAGGAGGTCAGCATGGCTGAGCTCTTGTGGTATGAGCTCTTAGCTCATAGACGCATCGCAATATGTATCAGTGAAGCAGCAATCTGAAGCGCAATGTGCTATTTTTCTTTGGATAGTTATAAAGTGCGTACAACACACGGTATAAAATAATACTATATGCATATGCGTGGGAAATAAATAGCATGAAACATGAATTTGAGTCTAATATAGCTAAGTGCACCTGGTATCGTCTCGTCTACGTAAAGCAGGTGCAAAAAGAACATGCATCGCAAGAAGCTAAGCTAAGCTGAGACACAATTTATCCGACACACGTAAACATGTCGGAAAACACAAAGAATCGTGCCTAAATAAAGAACCGTTGTTGGGATTAAATTTTGGATTGAGAAGTGCAAGTCATGGTGAAAGTGGTGGGCGAGAAAACAAATAGATCCCGTTCTCAAGGATCACCCCGCATGACGGTCAAGCTAATTGCCATTCGTGTCATATTATCCGTGAGCCGTGAGGAGTCTCGCATTTGTCTTAAATCCATTACGCCATTAAAAAATAGGACAACCGACTTTTTTAACTCCAAATGAACACCATATTATTGCACTAAATATCATTTTGTTAAACAGTTTACAATGAGTCCAGGTATTTTTCGACTCGATATAAGCAAAATATATGTCATTAAAATACGTAACACAAAACAGCATGATATGCGTTTTTGAGCTTTTCAGCTAGTCTCATCGTTTTTCACAATCTTTCATCAAAGCAATAGTAAATGTAAATGTCATAAATGCCAAAAAGTGCCTGATCTAAGAACATATAAGGCTCGAGTTTCGTTTCCATAAATAAAAAGAAATATGGGCGCATAAGCACTCAAGTCAGAGCACTAAAATACAAAAGTATAATTTACAGGAAAAAGTTGCAGATGAACTCCTACAGCAAAATTTAATAAGATGCTAATACAGCTTGAACGGTCATAAAAAGCTGTATTATAAGAACTTATCAAATCAAAATTCGAAACAGTATTTAGCGAGTTGAATGCATGATACAAGGTTGACGTTTAGTTTTGATGTTTGATAGGTAATTCATCGCCAAACATTATTTTCTTATCAGCTAACGGCTAGAATAATGGCGCACATCAGATTCAGTTGTTATAGTTGGCCACGGTCATTTTCGTGTTTTTGATAGTTGGCTGCGGTTGAAATTTTAAATAAATGCTGAGGTAAATGAGAAATAAACGTAAGCCACAGTTACAATATTCTGGACCTTGTCTTTACTCGTGCCTTACATCACGAACGATGCAATCAGAAAATGGATTTTCGGGTAAAAGGCGAAAGATAATAAGTGGCTGCATGCTTAAATTCTGCTACCCCGACTGTTGAGCTTTTTAGCTTGGTTTTCGATGCAAAATTGTAAATACTTGCAGGATGTGTAGCAAATTTACCGCCCATCATTCGGGCTGAAAGATGCTTGCATGGGTTTATCCTACGGAAAACTGATGTTTCCTGGTTGACAGTTAGTGCCTAAAAATGTCATATTGAATTAAGAATTAAACGGGAAGGTAAAGTAGGCGGAAGCGCTGTTTAACGTTGAGGAAATGTAGCTTTCATCACTGTATTATATCGCGCTGATTTGTCAGGCCATGACAGTCTCACAGGTCTTTGAACAGCAGGTCAACTTTTCGTATGACCATTGAAAAAGTGTCTATGAAAGATGCAAAAAGCTTTTCATTCACTCAAACTTGATTTGCAGCAAGCCAGCATATAGTCAATGATAAACGGTAGACTGCGTTACTGCTTTGCAGCCTGCCAGAGCTCATTGCTTATGTAAAAAAAAATATATATATATCGGATGAGTCGAAATCCGTTAACACCGTTCCCAGCATATATATTGGAAATGGGATATTAGCGGGCTGTTGACTCAATTAGAAGCCAGCTATCAAAAACCAAATGCATAGAGCAACATGTGGATGGGGCGTCGCTCACATCATTGTGATTGCCCTGTCACAAGATTGAGATTCGCTCTCCTTTGCCTCAGCAGCAGGCCTATCAGCCTAACTGACTGGCGCAAACCAGTGAACCTCAGTTCGGTGTTTGGTACTCACCACAGCGAGTATCCTCATGCTGGCGGAGGTGTGGAGAGCGCAGGGAGCACGTGCCACCCGGTCCGAGCGGCGGGTCGGAATGAAGCCGGTCGCAGCGCGAGCCACCAGCGCAACAGGGGAATTCCGACCCGCGGCTGGTCACCGGCCGGGCCTGCAGGGCTGCGCGGCCGCCCACCGCCGCGCCGCCCACCCCGGCAACTTGGCACGCTCTTAACTTGGCGATACTTATCCACTCACTGGTGGGGACGGCAAAAGAGTCCGGCTGCCAGTGGGGCCCAGATTTGTCGGATGAAGGCATACAGAGGCCGAAGATGCGATCTTGATGCCGAATGACTTAAGTGGATGGTGAGCGAGCTACGACGATCGAATCGTTCTTTTCAAATCCGAGAAGGTCTCTGTTGAAAAGAAGCTTATGCAGATTACTAGGTTTTCTACATTGATCTATTCTACATATTACCTACTGGGAAAACGGTGCTAGGGAGAAATGTTGGATACGGGAGTCGGGAGGCTTCTCTCACTCATGATATTTTAAGAAGTCCTTTCTGAATGATTATTCCTATACGCGTCCGTCTATAGCAATCACGTACGTGTATGACTGTGTTATAAAACAGAACATAGAAACCAAGTTAACTTTAATTCTTATATCATCTCACATAATTCTTATTCATTAAAAATGCAAATCATTTACTGTTCTTTTTGTTTGCCAGAATGGAGCCTTTTAATCCGCGCCCTGCTGCGGGGGTGGGTTTGAACACCCCCTTTGTGGTTTTTCGCGAATATCTCAAAAACGGCGGCACGGAGCGCCGCCGTTTTTCATACGTCTTTTCTGCACATGTACAATTTTCAGACCTAGTTCACCTAAGGTCAGGCTGCCAGGTTACGTCAAGTGACATCACTACATGAACAGTTTCACTGTCTGCCATAGCTATACCGAGTGACCGACCGCTTTGAAACTTTTAGCGATTGATAGAAACAGCAGTTTGTACAAAATGTATATCTCAGAATTTCGATATCGGTGACCTAGGGTCAGAGCAATTTTGCGACCTCTCTATCCTATGTCAATGAGAGAAAATTGACTTCCAAAAGGTTCCTGTTTTGGACGAAAGCCATTATAAACACTCTCAAGTCTCAAACACTAATTTACAAGTAACTTTGACACACTGAACATGAAAATGGCACCCATGACCCCTTTTATGCCCCGGGGGTCATCTCAGGTCACGAATGGTAGCTGACAGTTTTTCGCAAATAACTATTGATAGAGGCATGCTAGAGCGAAGAAAACACCTTAGATGTGTTCAGCCCGACCATACGAATCGACTGATATGCAGCATGACCCTTACCGGTCATGTCATGACCTTGACCAGGGGTCAAATTTTCAAGTTGACCTTTCATGGTCGAGTGATAGTTCATTCGATGCGTCTTGACGAGAGGAACACGATACCTGTAAATAAAAGTTCGTGCAAGGTTTAAGTGAAAAGTTATTGCAGAAAACTGTTTCCGAAAAAAAAATCGTTTATTTTGGCAGTCTTGCCCTTTGCAGGCAAAACCGTTGACGATAGGTCAAATCTGAGCGATTTAACCCTATTAGTGGCAGGGGGGGTTGTTTTTATCCACCCCTCAGGTTTTTCGGGAATATCTCCGAAACCGCTGAAGCTACGATGCTGTAATTTTCTGACTTTTCCTAAAACTAAATTGGGCACATTCCCTGAAAATTTCAAATTCATAACTTTACCAGGGGCGGCTCCAGAGCACTGGGAATTGGGGGGTCCTATTCGTGAAGCGAGTCATTTGGGCGAAGATGACGATGCTGCACCAGTTTTACGAACAGTGAATAAAAGGTATCATGTGATAACATATACAGTTATTGTGCATCCTCTTTTGACACGTTTTTGCTATAATAGGCGGATCCAGGCGTCCAAAAAGGGGGGTTATGTTTTACCTCCCAACATAGGTGCCCTGACACCGCCTATGCATTACCAATACAATTTTAGTCGTTCTCTCATTAGAAAATTATAACATAACAAGACCATTACCACCCTTTTTAGAAACAGTACCAACAAAAACCTTATTTACTATACTTTTTGTGTACCCCCAATCTCAATGATCTGTATCCGCCTATGATTTTTGAAAATGCATATTTTTAGGATCCATGTGAATTCCTGGTTCATTCTCTATCGATCGGCAAAAGTTGCGTTAAGATTGGTTCAGAAACCTGGCCGTGATAAACAGTCTAAAATGTATCTGCAATTTGCCCGTTTTTACCCCCCTCTACCCCCCCTATTGACATTTTTAAATTTTTATTTTTTAGAAATGTAGATCACGTTGAGCGAAATCGAATGCCGTTTGAATTTTGAAAATCGGCCCGTTAGATCTCGAGATATCAAGGGGGGTCGTAAACAGCCCCCCCCCCCCTGCCACTAATAGGGGGTAGCCAGGAGCCTGCCACTAATAGGGTTAATCAGAAAGACCGGTAGGTATTAGGGCTATCAAATGAGCTATTCTGCGCCGCCGTAGACCTATTAGTTTCCGAGCTGTGCGTTGATTAGTTGAAATTTGTCGAAAGTTGACCTGGAAATCGGCGAATTTTTGCCTTCAATGACCTCTGGTGACGGGTGACCTAACCTTTGACGGGACCTGACCAAAAAAAAGTGAGTGGAGTAATTTCTTCCTTATTTTTGACGCTCTTTCGAACGCCCGCTTTCCCGTGTCGCTACATAGCCCAGCTGAGCCGAGTTAGAAGAGGGTGTTCAAACACCCCCCCTCCCCCCAGCAGGGCGTGGAGGGCGTGGAAAATCCAGGACCCCCAGCGGGGCACAGGTTAAAAGGAAGTGGTTTTGAGTAAATAAAATCGCAAATGGTTATATTGGCTATAAAATAGAATGCGGTGAACGGTGCCTATTTCGCCTCTCTCTCTCTCTCTCTCTCTCTCTCTCTCTCTCTCTCTCTCTCTCTCTCTCTCTCTCTCTCTCTCTCTCTCTCTCTCTCTCTCTCTCTCTCTCTCTCTCTCTCTCTCTCTCTCTCTCTCTTCTCTCTCTCTCCCTTTCTCTCTCTCTCCCTCTCTCTCTCTCTCTTCATCTCTCTCTTTCTCTCTCTCTCTCTCTCTCTCTCTCTTTCTCTCTCTCTCTCTCTCTCTCTCTCTCTCTCTCTCTCTCTCTCTTTCTCTCTCTCTCTCTCTCTCTCTCTCTCTCTCTCTCTCTCTCTCTCTCTCTCTCTTTCTCTCTCTCTCAATTAGGGAGCTTAGGGCGCTATCAAATTTGAAAAGCTTGAGCAAATACATACTTTTATTTTGATCCCTATACAATTATACATAGCAACAAAAAAGAGAACTGATAGCCTTGGACGTCGATTGCTTGTAAATTGAGACCTAACCAGTAGACGAACGGTGGCTTGGTCGCAATTCGCTTTCATGACTCGCTGGTTCGGTGCATGTCACGTCCGGGAACCAAACGGCCAACAGCGGTTGCTCTTGTGACTGTCGATCAGGATTAGGCTGGGCTTGAGAAGATCGGAGAGGATTTTGTTTTGTCACTATCAAGATCATCCACTCTGGAAGCAAAGTATAGGACGGGTCGAAGCACAATTGTCAAATGATCCCAATGGCGGTATAGTCTATCCTTCATAAAAAGATAAGAATGATCCTTCATTTTCACACTTAGACAAGATAAAATAGATTTGGGTAGCCACCAACTCTCGTTTTGGCATCCTATAGCATGTCTTTTTTAGTTTTAGTTTCATCAGTTTATCAAAAGGATGCAACTTGGGGTGTGGCTTGATTTGCTGTTAGATGACACAAAACATAAAAATCCATAGTCCTTATCAATAAAAGTTTCATATGAAGAGATGTCTCTTTATAAAAGCTATCGAAAATATGTGGATATTAGTCGTTTTCACGACGGCCATCTGGTACACAGTTCGTGCAGAATAGGTGCAGATTTGGTCAGTAGCGGCGGAACACCTTCAATTAGGGGGGGGGGGGCACTGCCGACTTTTGGTTCCATTCTTTCCATGCAATGCCCATAGGGCTAATGTTAAAATGCCAAAATCAAAGGAGGATACGGTGCCCCGGTGCCCTCCCATTCCACCGCCTATGGATTTGGTACAGATTTGGTCAAATTAGGTTCATTGCGCTTCTTAAAAGTTGTCATTGTGGGTTGCACAGATGTTAATAGGCCTCATTTTTCGATTAAATGATGAGACATTATTTCGATTAAAACATAAATAACTTTATGATATGAATATATTTGTTGTAAAAGAGATTTGGTGCAAATTACTATATAATCATTTGTTCAAATTAGTTGCATTCACCTGATAACCCGTCGTGAAAACGGCTATTCATACAAACAGATATCAACACAGTTACATTTACTTGGCCACCTGTGTATGTGTGTAGATTGTAGAATGCTGCAAAAGGTTTATAATCTAATGATTCGAACTACTGATTATCCAATCAGCTGGCAATCTAGTTTCCAACCAGAGGGACAGATGGTCTCAGAATGATAAATGCTTACAATGGCAATCAAATGGCTGATTAAGTGATAGTTTTATGAAAGGTGGAATGAATTTATTTAAGGTGCAATGCTTGCATTGTCAAACATTTTTACTTAAAACAAATTGCTCAATCGACAGTGACCAATATAAAAGTAAGGGACTTTCAATAACATGTCGTTGATCAACAACAATGTCATACCGTCTAACTCTGTCGGTCAGTACACATGCTCAGTTTATATTTCTGTCATCGGAAATTTTCATTAGATACGTGTCAAGTCCACCACCAAACGGCGCCACCTCTGAACCTCACACCGTAACGGGCGCGTTTCGTAACGCCAACTGCGGTAATTGCACTGTGTTTTAATGACGCACGACTTGGCGGCGCGGTTCCGCCTCGGCTCTGAGAAGGACGGCCTGTCGGTCGGAGGGCGTCATCGCAACGGGTGACTTGCCAGAGTGCTGCAGTTGCTCACGGGGGCGGCTCCTGAGGCCGACGGCGTCCAAGGATAGGCCTGCCAAGGGCGTGGTCGGCCGCGGAAGGCGGAGGCGGCGGGACAGGGGAGGGGACTGGAGGGGAGTGTGCAGCTGAACCGGATGAGCACCAACCGGCCGTTCGGTGACTCTGAGCAGGGGATGCTGCTC